TGATTGTCTAGATATTTTCATTTTCTTTTTGTATTTTTGTTTTTTTGTTTTGTTTTGTTTTGTTTTTTTTTTTCTTTTTTTTGTTTTTTTTGAGCTTTTTTGTAAGCTGTAGGTTGGTTCCTCTTGATGCTCATGCATTCACCTCCGTTACTAATCTTATTGGTGCATTTCTGATTCATTGCTTCACCAAAAATATAGTTAAAATTGCTCCTTATCTCCTAGTGCCATATTTATGCTCTTATTTTTTCCGACAATCAGTTAGGTGGTTTTGATCATATAATGGGTGCTTGTTTGATATTTTATCTCTATAACAACTGAGGAAGTTACATATTGCCGTTTTTTACTTTTATTTATTTTTTGTTTCTTTTTTAAAAAATTTCTAGTTTCTTTATCCTTGAGAAACTGCAGGTATGTGGGAAACATACATATGCAAGTAACTGAACCACTTCTTCAAGAGGTTTTTGCTAGTACTGGTCTTGTTGAGGGCTGCAAACTTATCAGAAAGGAAAAGGTAATAATCTTCAATATTGGACTTGCCTTTACCTTCTTTTCTTTGGGGGGTTTTATATTTTGAAATATGACACCGTGCAGAAACTGATTAGTTGGCCTATTAATTTTGTTGTTTGGTGTTTATTCACTTATTTCATTTATTCACATAGCCTGGTTATTGCCATGTACTTGACATCTTTTGTCTTCTCATTCTGCAAGCAGTCATCATATGGATTCATCCACTACTTCGATCGCAGATCTGCTGCTCTTGCCATATTGTCTCTTAATGGAAGGCATCTGTAAGTATTACTCTTATTGCTGGTCTCTTTGCTTTGTTTGTATTCTTCCATCACATAATTATTATCATCCAATTTGTAGATTTGGGCAGCCTATCAAAGTTAATTGGGCATACGCTAATGGTCAGAGAGAGGATACATCTGGTTGGCTCATGTTTATATTTGTAACATAATGCTTGAATTGGATTGTTGCACTGGCATTCTTTATGTAATGCTTTATCATGGCATGCAGGTCACTATAACATATTTGTTGGGGATCTTAGCCCTGAGGTTACTGATGCAATGCTGTTTGCATGCTTCTCTGTTTACCCCAGTTGTTCGTAAGTTTTTTTCTCTTTAGTCATAATTTACATGGACATATATGTTTATATTTAATCTCAGTGCAACAATGGTGTGCCAATCTGATATCTGTTTTGGTATTAGGGATGCAAGGGTAATGTGGGATCAAAAAACTGGGCGTTCAAGAGGGTTTGGGTTTGTTTCATTCCGGAACCAACAGGTACCATTTTGCTAGTTTTGTGTCTGATGAATTTATGTTCTTGGTTTGTGTTTCATGTCCAATATAGAATCATCTCTTATCTGTTTACCCTTTTACTTGTTCAGGATGCCCAGAGTGCAATCAATGACTTAACTGGTATTCGTGCTTCTTCTTTCTTGTCTTCAGTTTCAAAAATTTGTAACGTCTGAGATTCTTTTTCCTTGAAGAACTGCATTTTCAATATATTTTTCCTAAACAGATACTTAATTTTCTTAACTTCATTGTGAATCGTTTGAGGAACAGTATGCAATCATTTGGATTTTTCTTTTTTCTGTACCTTTTCAACCCCTTTTACTGAGTAACTACGGGACACTGATGTCTTAAGTTAAATAATAATTGAAGCCCCCCTCCTCTGTCCTGCTCTCTCCCTTCCTTGCAATCCCATTCCCTGCCAAGCCATCCCAAAAGCAAAAAGGAGATGATGGTTCTTTAGTTCTTCAGAAATGACTTAGCAGCAGAAAGTACATGTTTCACATCCTTATTGTATGGGTTCACTAAATTTGTTTGGCAGGGCTTGTAGAGCTTATTTGTAATATTATGCACGTCTCACTTGCATTAAATGCATCTTTCTATATTTTACTGAATTTGAATTTATTTACCAGGAAAGTGGCTTGGCAGCAGGCAGATACGATGTAACTGGGCAACAAAAGGTGCTGGAGGTAATGAGGACAAGCAGAGTTCTGATGCCAAAAGTGTCATGGAACTAACCAATGGTTCATCAGGTGTGTGTGCTTTAATTTGCAGAGTTTTTTATTTGAAACATGGGTGATGTCTAACGTTGTTGAACAGAAACCAAGCACTATGTATTTCATGCTGTCTTCTTGGAAAAAAATTCAGATCTGTAACTTGATGGCAAATAACATAACATTTATTACCTTCTGTGTAGAGGACGGGAAAGAGACAACAACCAATAGTGAAGCTCCTGAAAATAATCCTCAATATACTACTGTTTATGTGGGTAATCTTGCTCCTGAGGTAAGGAAACCCTTCTGCATTGCCAACTCTATTCTATAATGTTTTTGTTTCTTTTTAGTGCTCTTGTGGTGACACAAGCACAGTCATCTGCCTGTCCATCAGCTGACCCACTGAAATGGGTATTGCAAAATGTTCTAAGCACACTTGTGTTGATAGGAGTGAGGTGTGTTTTTGAGGCAGACCACTAGGTTATCCAGCATTTCTAAAATGCACATAGAATGCATGAAATTTTAGAATTCACACTACTTATTAAAGTTTTAGAATCTTCTTGGAGGTCTGAAAACAGTGTTAGCTGTTTATTTTGACGTCTAATTATCATAAATTTTTATATTAATATCACATTAATTTTACAATTCACACTAATTGTTAAATTCTCAAAATCTAGTATTTGGGAACATCATTGTCATTGTGAGGGGTGGCTTGTGTCTGGTGAGCTATAAAGCTCCTGTGGATTGCTTGTATATGGGCAGCATGGTAGAGTGTAAACTGATTGTTAGGCAATCCTTGAATAATTTGTATTCAACTGACCTGCAGGTCTCTCAGTCAGAACTTCACATCCACTTCCATGCTCTTGGCGCTGGAGTGATTGAGGAGGTACGAGTCCAGAAAGGCTTTGGTTTTGTAAGATACAGTACTCATGCCGAAGCAGCTCTGGCTATTCAGATGGGGAACACTCAGTCATTTCTCTGTAGCAGACAAATTAAGGTGTGTTTCTCTTCTCTTAGCTTTAACGATTTTATTTTATTTTATTATTATTATTATTATTTTTGTCTTGAAGAAAAAAAATGTGTAAGATGTCCTAATGAGCCTTGTATGGTTTAATTGTTTAAGCAAGTGTATGGTAGTTTACTCTTTGAGTGAGAGGCCAGAGCTTGTTTGCTTGTCCAAATTCCTTGTTGTATATAAAAAAATTTGATAAAATTTTCCCAGTTAGGTAATTTAATTCTGAGATGATTAATCTTTTTATCTCCCTTGAGTCATGTGATGTCTTTTTGTCAATTAAACTATTTGGCTGATATGGTTGCAGTCTCTCTCTCTCTCTCTCACTAAGCATTTTGTGCAATTGGAAATTCACATTTAAGTTTTGCTATTTTAGTGTTCATGGGGCAGCAAGCCCACTCCACCAGGAACGAGTTCAAACCCGCTCCCCCCACCTGCAGCTGCAGCTCTACCTTTGCCCGGGTTCTCGGCCACTGACCTTCTAACCTATGAGCGACAACTTGCTATGAGCAAGATGGGCGGTGTTCATGCCCTGATGCATCCTCAGGGACAGCATTCTCTTAAAGGTGCAACAATGGGAGTAGGTGCTGCTGGAGCAAGCCAAGCAATATATGATGGAGGGTTCCAGAATGTTGCTGCTGCCCAGCAGCTGATGTACTATCAATAAAGTAATAAAATAAGTTGGTGTCATATACCCCTTGTTTCCTGCCCTTGCAGGTCTTTTGTGAGTTCAAAAGTTCTAGGAGGCTTTTTAAGTGTTTCCCTCTTTACCCAATGGTGAAGTTCTCACCCTGCATTATCTTATAGCAAATGTTTGCCGATTGTATCAATATTTTATGTTTGCAGATCTCGTTTCATTCCTAAATATCTAGGAAGCTTCTTAATGTAATTTCGCTTATTTACACCTTATGGTGGCTGTTCAAATAGCATATACACATTTGCAAATGATGTCTATTTTGAGTTCTAGATAAGGAAGAAAGCTATTTCTTGTGCAATTTTTGTTATCGTAATTATGGATGTACGTACTATATCACCATGGATGATGTTGCCAGAGCTCATGGACTCCATATTCTATATTGCAATGCCTCAAAAACAGTCCCCTATGGAGAAACTGAAATATCATTCAGGTGAAGCCGTTCTGCTCCTAACCTTAACAAAGTTACTGAGCGTGAAAGATGTTAATTTTTGCTCATGCTTATCACGGGAAGTCCCCTGCTTTCTCGTAAGAGTAACGATAAGTGAACAATTCATTTGTATTATTTTTATTTATAATTTTTTAAATGTCATTATATGAGTAGGGTATGTAATATTAAAGTTTTCTAAAGTAAAAAAACTTAATCATTAAATAGTGCATAAAGTTATATAAAAAATTAGGTAAAACTCTAAGTTAAGCCCCCAAACTAATATCAGATTCTCTATTAAATTCTTAAACTTTTATTGATGTAAATAAGTTCTTAAATTTGGTAATTTGGGTAATTTAATTATTTTTTATAGTGGGTAAATTTAATACATGTTTGTATTAATGACCTATCGGTCTCAATGGAATGAGTTTAATTTTTCTTAAATAATATATTGAGTCCAAATCTTGTAAATGAAGAAACATGTGCTGAGAAAGTTTCTTCCATTAAGGTCTTGAGTTCGAATATTGTGATTGGAGTAACAGATGTAGTGAGAGTTTCCTCCATATGGGGTTTAAAACAATTTGATTTCAGATTAATCAAGATCTAATGTAATTATCAATTATTAGAAGGTTAATATCAAAAAAAAAAAAAGAAGAAAAACATGTTTGTACTTTATTTGTGTAGATAAGATGAATACACTCCATGTAGATAATGATATATCAAATGATATATCAGTACTTTATTAGTGTAAGTGAGATATAAATAGATATTAAATGTGTCATAAAAGAAAAGATTAAATTGTTAAGATTGCTAAATTTAGTGGCTTATTTGCTTCAATAAAAGTTTAGAAGTTTAATTAAGAATCTGAGGTAAGTTTAAGGGATTAATGTAGTGTTTTGCCAAAAAATTATACACAACAAAATTATCTTTTAATAATTTTCATTTTCACAATCTCCAAGATCGGCGCAGCAATCAACAGTGGCTCCATAAGATACTGTTCCAGTGGGCTGGGCTGGGTCTTATGAACTACGGGCTCGTAATGACATAAATGTCCTATATTTTCTCAAAATAACAATAATGCCATTACGCAAAGTATTTACAATTTTCATTTTATTTCCAAAAATCGAAACGGTGCGTTTGTCCTTGACCTCACCTCCCATGGAGAAAAGAAAAGAAAAGAAAAGAAAAGAAAATCCCTTCTTCCTCTGCTCATTCCCGCGCTTTAAAGCTTTTTCTAGGGTTTAACTTCAATTCTTCTGCAATTCCAGCTCTGTATTCTGTTTCGGCACTCAGTATTCAGCATTACCTGAAATCTCTCGTCTTAATCAGAATATGGACGTTGAAATGGAGACCTCACCGAGCTACTTCGACCCTGAAGATCTCACCATTAGAGAACGGTATCGCCGTTACGGGTATATTTCTGACACTTAATTTTGTTTTTCGCCGTTACTAGTGCGTGGAATTATGTGTTACTGGACTATTGGGCATGCAGATACATGCATATACATTTGTGTGTTTGTGAAACATTGATGTATCTTGTGTCTCGGTGGTCATGTTGGGGCTTTCCAGTTTTCTTTATTTTTTGGGGTTGTGTGGAAATCAAGCAATTAATGGGGGTGATGACACTGGGGTTTATTTGATAATTCTACTGCTATTAGTTAGACTTTAGCTGGTGGAGTTTGTTCATGAATAGTCAGTGGGATTAAGTTCTCGAATGTGGATGCATTTTGGGATTTTAGATTACTTTTAGGATTGGATTACTTGTAAGATGAATTACATATTGAAAGAATCAAAAATTCTTTACGAATGGAGTATTATTGAATTGTTGAAGAATATGCAAAACATTTTTTTGAAAAGGAAATGGATAAAACTTAAGGCTTAACTTTTTTTCTAGTTTTACTAAACCACACGTGCTTGCGCATGCGTTCACAAACAAAGGTGAAGACAAATGATTTGCAGTGAATATGGGTTTTGCATTATTGTTCCTTTCGAATCTCATATTGCCATGTGAGTTCTTAAATGATCTTATTTTATTTTGTTCTCCCTTACCCATGATTTTATTTAAGTTTGTGATATTTACAGGAAAAGAAACTTAACTTCAAGCATATCTCCCCGTCAGGAAAGTGACATATCAAAGTTCAATGAAGCTACGTTGTTGTATGATGGACAGAACACCCACAGCCCAACAAATGCTATACTTCTTCTTGAAAACATCAAACCAGAGGTTGAAAGCTTTGAAGTTAAACAGTCAGTGGAAACACTGGCCAGGACACAATCAAAAAGGAAATTGTCCATTGATCCTTGTGGAATCCCACAGGCTGATGTTGGCAGTGACTCAATGCGTTGGGTGGGAAGTGTGTCATTAAAATCTAGCAAGATTGAGGATGAATCATTGGCTGATAGTGGAGAAACAAGCTTTGCCTTATTTGTTTCGTTACTTGATTCTACTCTTCAAGGTGCCCGAAGTAAATACTATAGTTGAATGCCAATTTTAGTCCCTCAACTTTAGGATTTTGTACAGTTTATGTCCCTGAACTTTTAAAAATGCACATTTTTGGTTCCTAAACTTATAGTATATGCACATTTTTAGTCTGAACTAAAAACTAAGAATATGCATGTGTGGACAGACTTAATGGATTAATTGGCAGAGGGACAAAAAAGTGCATTTTTTAGAGTTGAGGATAAAAAAAGTGCTTAAAATAGTTGAGGGACAAAAACTATGCAAAACCCTAAAGTTGAGGGACTAAAATAGGCATTTAACCAATTAGTATTAAGCATACTTCTCAAAATTTAAAGTTTCTATATTTAATTTGCTTTTGCTGCTTTTAGCTAAGTTAGTTTTTGATAAAAACATTTTATGATTGCTGGGAGTGTTTATAGTCTTGAGCTGTGCCTAGCGCAGGAGTAGGTGAGCTTTAAGTTGAAATTGTAGCTTTGTGGATTAAATTGGGTATGGATGGGATATGTAGATACTGCAAAACTGATGGAAGGAGATGAGTTAATAGACATTTATATGTTCAAAGAATTGTGCTTCAGTTCTTGCACTCTTAACCTTTTCAAATGTTGCATGATTCAATTATCTGGGGGTTAAGTGGAGGATTATTAGAAGCCATGACAAAGATGAAACTAGTTTTTCATGATGTGGAGAATATGTGTGAAAGGCAATGCATGTGAATGTTTTGAAATGACCAACTATGTTAGGACACTAATATGGAATTTGACTGCAGTGAGAGCAGAAAGAAATCCTACAGTGATGTTAGGCTTTCATGACTGATCAGCTTGAGAACTCATTTTTCATAATTTATTCTGAACAAACTCCTCTATGTATCTTTGACTAAGGTTGTAAATTTTGTACTTTTAGCCATTTGAATGTTGGGCATGGTGACTTCTTTAGTGTGTGAAATATGTTGTGTCTTATAAATTCATCTTTCTGTTACTATTTTTGGTTCACATGGATTAGTTAAGATATTTTTTTTTCCTTTTTTTGTTCTTCTCCCATATTTAGGTCAGCAAAAATTTCTTTCTTCATAGTGGTTTATTATTTTCCAGTTAACTGTATACAATAAAGCAGTGACTTTCTTAATATACAATTAATCTAGATAAGCTATAGAGATTTTAAGTCTTGCCTTTATGTTCTGCTACTTATTTTCAGACAGGAACCAGTAATTTCAATAGCTGTTTTGTGAAGCAAGCTGTTATAGATATAATAATGGGGTCTGTTTGGTACATAGAAGATAAATAAAAGCCACTTTCTCAGTTACTTTTGTTTGATCCAACCAGGGTCTAAATATCATTTTTGATCTGCGTGGCCAGCTGAAATGGGCATTGTACAATTAGCTTAAAAGAAAATAAAGTTTGTATTAAATTCCAAATAACTTAGAATTATAATACCGTTCCTTGCATTTCTTGATGAAGAATCCATGTTATTCTCTTTCATCATAATTTTTTCCTTTTAGCAGGTTTAATGCCTATTCCTGATCTGATTTTAAGATTTGAGAGATCAGGCCGTGATGTTTCAGAGTTGATCAGGTGTGTTTCATACTGTGGAAGATATGTATAAGTTGGCATAAGTACCTCATGTAGTGCAGGCAGACATTTCTTGACTTGTAATTTTAGTTGTGTATGGTTACATTTACAATTTTCCTAGAATTTTTTTTCTTTACAGTCACTGTCCTTCCCTATGGTATTTGAGAATTGTAGTACTTTGTTTAAAGTATAATTTATTGAAATGAGCCTTCTTAGATTTTTCTCATGGTGACACCTTTTTTCTATAAAATTATAACTTGAAGGTGAAGGAAATAGTAAGCTCAGTCTTATTGAACAGTAAAATCTTTTTTTTTGTTAGCAATTAAACGGTAAAATGATGTCACTACAAGTAAAGCAGTTTTGCAATTTGTATAGTATTTACAAACTCAAGTTTCTGAAAACTATCAAACTTTAAGGATGTAATTGTATGTAAAATTGTCTGTTGATTCACTAGCATTCAATGTTGGAAGCAGACTTCTGTTTCTGAAGATTATCAAAACATCAGAAGTAATCTTTTTGTAGTTTGCTGTGTTAAATAGTTCACATCAACACACTAGGTGGCTATTGACACCAAGTTGTTCTGTTTTTTGTACAGATATGGATCTAACATACCACATCGGTTTGGAGAGGACAAAATGATGAGGCAGAAGGCTCAACTCCTGCTTGATGAAGCTGCCACTTGGTCTCTTTTGTGGCCCCTTTATGGCAAAGGCAATGCTTCTCTAACCTCAAAAAGTTGTTTTAAAAATTGGTTTCTTAGTATTAATAAGGGCATTTTGATTGTTGAGTTATTTGATGGATTGATTATTAAGTTATTGATAATCTTTGAAATGCATCATTAAGTTATTGATAATCTTTGTAATGCATTTCATACTATAGGTTTCTTTATCTTCTATTTTTTTTTAATATGTTCACTTAGGTTATTCATCATCTCCTGTGAAATGGTCTTGATTCCTCCTTTCTCCTTTCTTTTTTTTCAATAGTTTTGTTGGGTTTTGGGGGAGAGATAATTTTCACAAATATTGTCTGATGAGCTTTGGGCCTTTATTTATTTATTTTATTATTATTTTTTTTTTATGATGGTTACCATTTTTCTTACAGTGGCCAAAGAACCTCCTTAAGAGCTAATCCTGGAATTTATTTTTCCCCAAAATTTCCTTCTTGACAGCCGTCGTTTTATTTGGATAGTGCTGTCTTTGGCTAAATTTTATATTTGAAAGGTTTGCTCGAATTTATATTTATATTTGGTGATTTATGGCAGTCCCCTCCAACTTCACATTTAGAGGCATGCCAGTTCGTTGTGAATGACCATACTGCACAGTTATGCCTTTGTATTGTTCAATGGTTAGAACAGTTGGCCTCCAAGGCCCTTGATCTGGAAAGCAAGGTGATTAGTTTTTGCAAAATTTGTTAGTTTAGATTATAACCAATCACTATCTCTTGTTTATCATTGGTGAAACAAAGCACTTCATCCTTGAAAATTCAATAAGGATTATGGAAGTTATATTATATTTTCTGTATTAGCATATCATGCTAATACCTCCAAAAGCATTTGATCCTTGAACTTGATTGATCCAGACACTGATGGTTCTTTTACTCTTTCAAGATAGACTAATTTGTAGACTAACAGTCTCATCAACCAAAAAAAAAAAAAAATGAAGATCTTTTTATCAGTTCCATTGCACTACAGTTTTTCTTTTTCTCTTTTTCTTGGAAAAGATGGCTCATGATGATGCCTCAAACGCCAGGAATATGCATTATGCACAGTAATTCATTGGAATTGTTTAACACAATACTTTTTATTTTTTCAGGTGCGAGGATCTCATGTAGGGACTTATCTTCCAAACTCTGGTGTTTGGTACCACACCCAACGATTTCTTAGAAAAGGTGTTTCTGCTGCAAACACTGTTCACCACTTGGATTTTGATGCTCCAACAAGGGAACATGCACATCTGCTACCTGATGGCAAAGTATCTCTCGGATAGAACTGTCTAAGATAAATTCTTGTTTCCTATTATCTGCTGCTTTATCATTTATTGACGCATGCAAATTGTGGTACAATATTTGTTTCTGTGTACAAGCACATCACAAACACATGTATATGTGTAGAAACACACACATAAGACTTACAACAGACATTCATTCTCCAACAAGGAACATGCACATCAGCTACTTCATTGCAGAGTACTCTCTCACAAAACTGTTAAAAATTTTATGAAACTTGTTTTAATTTTGCCCTTATCTGCTGTTGCAAGATATGGCGTTTATATTTTCTAGTTGCAAAATGCAGAAATGATGCGTGCAAGTGCACAACATGCCTATGAACATGCTTATCAGCTGCCTGATGAAATAGTACTATCTCATAAAATTGTCTTAGAAACCTTTTAAGTTATAAATTTATTTTACTTACATGTTGTCTGTCAATTTTAGATGTGTTTATGTTCGTTTTGATGTGCAAATAGTCAAATGCAGATAAATACACATGCATGCACAAATACATGTCTTTATTTTAAATTTAATCTAACAGTAATGGTTTTTCCTTGACAGAAACAAGATGAATCTCTTTCAGAGGATATCTTGACTCTATTAAGGGCTGGAAGAATAGAAGAAGCATGTGATCTTTGCCAATCTGCCGGACAGGTATTCAGAGGTGGGGAAAGTTGTGCAACATGCTATTCGGTTTTAGAATGCTGTTTTAGAACCAGTTCCCCTTTTTTCCACTTCTTTTGCAGCCATGGAGAGCTGCAACTTTATGCCCATTTGGAGGATTGGACCTATTTTCTTCTGTTGAAGCCTTGAAGAAGAATGGGAAAATAGAGTGCTGCAAGCCACTGAACTGGAAAATGGCATTGGTCACCAATGGTGCCTTTGGAAATGGGCTTCCTATTGTGCATCAGAGGTAAGTATCAAAATGACTATCAAAGAGTTCTTTTTACCACTTTTATTATTTCCTGTAGTGCTATTATAATTTGAGATAGATCATAAATGTTAACAAGTTGTGATTTGTAAGGATTGGAGTACCCTTTTTGTACTTTCTTTAATAATATTATCTTTGTTTTGCTGATGAGAAAAAAATTGTCCTTTAGATATTCAATACCTACTGTAGTGTTTTTTGTCTGGAAGTTGTTGAGGTTATATATCATCCTTTAGTGCCTATAGCATGTGCTTTTGCACTCATAAATATTCCCATTTGTGATTTTCACAATATTTGGTGGCAAGTTTTCCACCACTTCTTCGATGCATATGAATTGGTTTTTGATGCACAAGATCACTAGGTATGGGACTGATAAGGGTCTCGCTCCAGAAAATTGCTGAACAGGATGGCGGAAAGTATGAAGCAGCTGTGTATGCAGCCCAATGTAACAGTCTAAAGCGGATCCTTTCAGTTTGCTCAGACTGGGAGGTACACTTGTGTATACATTTCTTTCCTTGTGAAATGCATTTTTTCTAAACTTTATCATCCTTCTTTTCATCAATATATTGCCATCAGTATTTGCTCCTTCCATCAGTAGTGCCATCAGTATAAAAAAGAATTATTACCCTGCAACAACATGAACAATGATCTAATGATATCATTGTGTATGATTTGATTGAACTTTTTACTGCAGGTGAGCTTGTTTGATTCCAAGCTGGGGTTACAATGGAGATATCTCGATTAGATGCTTGGTATTCAAGCAAAGATGGTTCTTTAGAAGGCCCAGCAACATACATTGTTCAGGGCCTTTGTCGCAGGTGTTGTTTACCTGAAGTCATTCTTTGTTCTTTGCAGGTATGCTTTTCACTTCTTTATATAGGTGCTTCGATGAAGTGGATTAAAAGCAAAAGCTGCCTTGTTGAATGAAAGAGAGTAAGCAGTAGCTCTTGAGAAGTACAATTAACTGAGTTTCTTGATCATGAACCATGCTGATTGAAAAAAAAAATCATGGACCATAATAGCTATGCTATTTGAGTTTAGTTAGTTATGTAGCAGGCACTTGTTTCATAACTCAAAATTTTCATTTTGAAGAGGAAGCATTAACAAAATTAAAACTTTCTTAATATTAAAGGGGTGCTTGGGAGACCAAAAACCAGATCTGTAGAGTATGTAGTTGAACTGCTTTTAGACTGAAGCAAGTATGCAATCCTATTCTGAATGTCTCTGTTTTTCTCCATTAAGTAGACCTTGTATACATGCTTGGTTCAAAAAGCATACTGATTATTGTTCTATCAGTTCATCAATCATCCCCCATAAGAGAGTGAGAGTCAAATTATCAAAAGAAGTTGAATTAGATCAAAAGGTGCCGCAAAGTCGGATTTCTTCAACTATGCTTATATTTTTTTATGGGATATCAATTCACCTGCAGGTTTCTGTTTCCCTCATGCAGTTTGGTAATCCACCTGAGAACCATGATGAGCTGATTGAATTAGTCTCCAGCCCTGAAAATGGGTTCCTCCATTTGTTTAGTCCGCAACAACTGCCGGGAAGTTCAGGAATAATTTTGATTTTATGTGAAGAGAGAAGTATAATTTATTATACCCACCATTCCTTGTCAAATTCGTTTTCCCCTTCCTCTTCATTTAAGTTTAATTATACTTAGACCTCTCGCTCTAGAGCATTCTTTAGGTTGGAGTTTCCGGATGCAAGCTATTTAACCTTTTTTTTTTTTCCTTTTTTTTTTTACATAGTGAAGGAGTTAATGTGCCTATGGAAAATGGGATTTCACAAGAATCCCCACTACCGTTCTCCATTCCCATCTTTGCCTTTTGTCTCTTTAAACTTTAACCTTAATAATCTAATAATGATGTCAGAAAAGTGAAAATTAGGACACTCGAACATTAAAAATGTTAGGGTGTCAAATTCTAACCATATGATATAATATAATAACTAGGTGGGACATATACTGTCTTTAGGTTGAAAATAATCTAGGTGAGACCTGCATTATCTTGTGGTTGGAATTAGACGTCTTGATTTTCTGTTTTCTCTAATAATAATATTATCATTAATATTATCTCAGTTAACTAGTTATGTGTGCTTTGCTGTTTAAATAATAATCTTCCTACTAATAAAATGGGAGATATCCAAGAATGCGTACACGGGTTCATCTACAATACCTTCACCATTTTATACTAATCATCAAGGTGTTTGGATGTTGGAAAAACCTCACTAACGGTAACATGTGTATAAACTTGAGAACTATAATTGTAAAACATAAAATTATACCTTTTTATGTAGTAACCCTTTATTTATTCTCTAGTTTTAGGTATAAAGATTAAAGTGCATTGCTGATATTTTGACTTTACACGATAAAGGATCCTAATAACGTTGAGAAATATAGATTTACCAAAATCACGAGAACACATGACATTTCTTGTTATCTAGCTCTTTGAATTGGACTTTTCCATGATTTTCCTCATTTCGAATTGCTCTAAAAGCTAATCATTACATTGCCATGACCTTTGAGGTATATCTTTGATTTGATTTGATATGATTTGATTCAGACTGATAGTAAATTGTTATTCCTAGTTCAGGAGTTTTTTCTGTTTGAGAGGGAATATATAATACGCAAAATGTAGATCCAAGAGGAACTTGTAGAGTCTTCAGAGTGTATTGAAATCTCTGGTTCTGCTATGAACATTCTGCCTCTTGCTATGAGATCGACAACATTGTTCATGCTCCAACAAAATACTTTTGCCTTTTTTTAATGCAAAGAAAGAGAAAATGCTGTAATTATCTTAATATGAAAGGTGGGCCTACTGAGTCAAGTGATATTAATATGTGTTCTATGTTAAATGGTCCATTCTTTCTTCCACTTTTTCTTTGCACTTGGACTTGTAACTCTAAGTCGACAATGTGTATGGTATCCCAGCCTGTTCAGACTTTGACCAAAAAAAAAAAGGGTTTGAGGACGTAATTGGTTAAAACAAAAAATAAGAGTCAAATCCGCTGAAAAGATGGTTATAAAAAATAAGTAAATAAATAAAAATACCTGCAGAAAAGATGATATTAAGTTATAGAGAGAGGAAACCCCTAATTTCACCCTCGAACTTATTTTTTAAAAAAGGGGTTTTGGCCTTCAAACTTATTTCTTATGGTGCCTTGGTTCATCTACAATATTATTCGAGAATTGTATTGAAATTGGTTAGAGACTTGCATGCTGAGACTCCACAGCAGTGGGTTTTCTCCAGGTTGTTGTTAGGTTGTGTATTGTGATAAATTGTTCTAATTTGTACCAGTTTGTATATAACATAAGAAAGATGGTGTAGAGTAGATCATCATTTTCAAATCTTTTTTAAAGTATTTGTCTTAAAATTTATTTTTTAATTAGTGTTTACACTCATTTTTGCAAAAAAATAGAATGGTGCCATGTGCCATCTATGTTAACAAGAATTTCATCGGCTAAAAATAGTTGGAGTAAATTTTTCTGGTAAGGTTGAGTGGTTATTTCTATAGCGACTAGTAAAACCGTTCGCTTATTGTGAACTTTTAGGAGGATTATCGATAATACCAACAGATAAATTGATTTATTTCAAATTTCATGTTGCCATTGGTTTTTCAAAATTGCTGCCACAGATCTCCACTATGCTGCCAAGGTACTATAAATACCTAATGATAGGATCAAGCAAAAGACTAGCCTTTCACATAATTAGCCCAACGTTATTTACATTTTAGTTTTACAAGCAAAATCTTAGTTTAGATCCAACTTTCTTAAATAGCTGTCCTAGTTAAGTATTTAGCTCTGCACTGCCATTAGTTTTAATTCTAGTTTTTGTTATTTCATTGTGAACATCTCCACTCGATGTATTTAGTTTTCTGTAATTCAATTTATTGCATTTTGCCCCAAAATTCATCTTCCTAACTTCTTTTAAACTTAGTTTTATACTTCAGTTTTTATTTCGTTTTCTATGTTTTCATGCTTTTGCAGCAGCATCACGCCTCTTTTTTGTAATTTAGTTTTCCTACGATGCACTTTCTTTTTGCTCTTTTTCTTTATTTTTCTCTTTTATTTTGATCAGCAAACTAATATTTTGGCTCTAGTTGTGGGAAGTTCTTGATGTTCTTTTAGAACAATTATTTATAAACTTTTATACAGAATGTACCATCGTTTCTACAACAATCGTTTGACCAGAGCGCATCTCATAATTATTTAACCGGTATTCTTTCATCGACTTGTAGCTGAGTTCCACACTTCGAAATAGTGAAGGTCACTAAGAATCTTTTTTTCTCACTTTGAGTAAAGTGAATGGCATGATTTTTCAATTTTATTTGCCATGCAGCTAGAAAGGGAGATTTTGGAGGCAACAATTAGTATTTTCAAAAATTAATATTAAATTAAAAATTTTATTTATATAGATTATGCATGTCAATTTTATGTTAATTTAACATTTATAACTCTTTAATAAAAAATTTTATTGTTCAACACTTGGAGG